GTCATTCCTTCTAATAAGGAGCTAGGGTTGCCATGGCCCAGTTTGATAGGAGAGTGCATAATTAGCATAATTACCTGCATGTATCCTGAAATCTTCATTGGAGTCTGTTCTCCAAGTCCCCCTTTCTAAAAAACCCCCAAACAATACAGAAATGAGGAGGAGGAATCAGCAGCAATCAAAGTAGTTGAAGCCTGGAGGAAATAAACTCAAAGCATTTTGGGTAGCATTAATGTATCACAACAGAAAATTTTCATTCTTCATTCACCAAGAAAATCACCAGTTTTCTATAAAAACTATTTCATTTGTAGTTTTCTTACCTGAAACATAAAGGTTCTTGGCATCACTTAGAGAGGAATTATTCACCTGGTTGTTTTTACCCTTGTTCTGGTACATGCAAGAAAGCTGTCTTGTACTTGCTCTTGATATTTTATAAGAGAATTTATATAAAAATATTGCATCCTTTTGCTTCTGACTTTTGATTTCTACCCCGTCTTCACAGAGAATAATTCTGGTAAAAGGAGAGACTGGTGGTATTTGACACTTAACCAAAACTTCATCTGCTTCATCACTGGGTGAGGTTTCCAGAAATATGTTTGGTTTGGTAAGAGTACCTGTAGGAATGAGAAAACAACCCACTAAATTGCATACAAATATGAAAGTTTGTGTAGCGTTCGACTAGTTTATAATTTTCAGTCCATTTCCTGTGCCAGGAATCCATTAAAGACAGTGTATATTTTGTCCTGACAACTCATGATATTGTTGAACATAATATAGTATATTGTTTTGAAATTGCAAAATTCCAATCAATGGGGACTCCAGTCAGGATTTGTACTGTGGTGAGCAGCTCCTCTCATTGTTCTCTTCCCAAACACTCCTTTGGAGCTGATGTTTGTATCAGGAAGAAAGTTTCCATTCATACCAAATGGAAATTAGCTTCTAATGCAAATAGCAGCTGCTGTTAAGTGACGTTGGGATCATGATGGGGCAGAAGGGTAAACTCCTTTTCCCTGTGTTCCACAATGGGAGCAACACTTATCTGGGATGCGACAAGTCTGTTGCTTTGTGAGATGAATACCTTAGGGTTTTTTTAAAAAAAAATATGCAACATGAGTATGATTGTGTACCTTGAATTAGGACACAACTGATATTACTAGCACTCCTCTAATAGTATGTTGGCATTCACCTTTATAGCTATGGTGCAAGAGTTTTTATTAATCAATACTAACTAGTCACGTGTTTCTAATAACCTCCTGCACTGCCATCAGCAGTATGAATGAATGAATCTTTATCTGCATCAGCTACCAGCCATCACGGGACGTGGGTGGCGCTGTGGGTTAAACCACAGAGCCTAGGACTTGCCGATCAGAAGGTTGGCAGTTCGAATCCCCGCGACGGGGGTGAGCTCCCGTTGCTCAGTCCCTGCTCCTGCCAACCTAGCAGTTTGAAATCACGTCAAAGTGCAAGTAGATAAATAGGTACTGCTCTGGCGGGAAGGTAAACGGCATTTCCGTGCGCTGCTCTGGTTCGCCAGAAGTGGCTTAGTCATGCTGGCCACATGACCCGGAAGCTGTACGCCGGCTCCCTTGGCCAATAAAGCGAGATGAGCGCCGCAACCCCGGAGTCGGCCACAACTGGACCTAATGGTCAGGGGTCCCTTTACCCTTTAGCTTTACCAGCCATCACAATAAAACAAACAAAATGCGGTATACAGAGGATAAAGGTAAATAGTCAAATAATGGATCTTATTCTAATTGCCCGAGCTAAAAACCTTGCAACCTTTGCTGTCTCCTGCTTATCTTGGTCTGCCAAGAGAAAGGACACTGTAACAGTGGTTGGGTGACCTGTACATATTTTATGGGCTAATAGCCGTAAATAAAATTAAGTGTAAGTGTAAGTGGGTGACCAGGAATGGTCAATAATAGAGTGATAACCATACTCCTCAAATCTTTATAAAGAGTGCAAGCCAGAAGGATAAGAGCAGTATGTACTGCGTGTGCTTGATTAACTGGACTGTGCTCCACAAAAACCTAGATAGGTAATATATTCAGATCCCACTCTGTTAGAGGGTCACATAGTCAGTGGCATAGCATGGGTTGCCAGTGCCCAGGGCCATGTAGAGGGATGGAAATAGATGGAGTACACCTGTGCATTCAACTGCCTAATGGCATCCACATCACCCAGGAGATCACAGCCACAGAGATAAGAAGAGTCATTCCATTTTCTACAGAGGTCACTTCTGGTTCGCATGGAGAAGCCGTTTTCAATGGAGCCCAGTGATAGAAGCACACAGCTGTATTGAAGCAGCACCGGGTGTTGTAATTTTGTGCCCTTAACAATTTTGTGCCTGGGGCAACCACCCCTGTGCCCCACCATGCTACACCGCTGCATGGCTACACCACATAATTCTGCTCATAAGCAAGCCCCTCTAGCCTAAATTAGAAGTGTGCCAGTCTGTTAAACATGTGTACATCTAGTTTGGTTCTTAGCTGCCTTTAAATATCTACATAGAGGGAAGGCCCTTTAAATATACTTCTACTGGATGAGCTATTTGCACACCGAAAAAACAATCCTTACAAAACTAAAGCTAAAATAAAAAATTCCTTCCAGTAGCACCTTAAAGACCAACTAAGTTAGTTCTTGGTATGAGCTTTCGTGTGCATGCACACTTCTTCAGATATCTTCAGATATCTTCAGATATCCCTGTTCCCGGTTGAATAAAGATGCAAGTATTTAAGAATTTACTGGGCTAAAAATGGCAACAACTTTATTGGTTACAGATGATGAGCGATATTGGTTTAGGCATTGGATCTAACTGACTATATCTGACTCCAGCCCATCTGCAGGGAGTCCAGGAAGGGTTAATCACCAGTAGGGGGAGTCCTGCTGATGCACATCAATTAGGAGCTCCCCGGGGGTCACTGATAGGGGTTGTTCCTAAGGCCCTAAGCTCCCTAGGCTTCAGACAGGGCCACGCCCCCCAGAATCCTTTAACGGAATACCCTTCAATATGCGGGGCAGGTGATGGCGCTACCTCCCCTCTTCCCTTCTTCAGAAATATTCCAATGCTTAACCGCCACTCGAGCCAAAAGGCTTGCGGCCAATACCCTCACACCTGCAACAAATTCCTAATGCCATGAATTATATCACCCAGCCAAACATCATTTCCTGCATTGGAAAGATGCACACCATCTTCACGGTAGAGGGACAACTTGCTGAACTTAATGGTTGGGTGCTACGAGCCATCGAACGATCCAATAGTTTCCTGCCTTTGTTTATCGCAATAGGGCAATGACAGTTTTGCCACACACGCCTCTCCAGCAGCGATGACCAAAATAGTGTGGGTAGTGTGTGGGTAGACACACATTTGCTTGCACTGTTTACTGACAAGCTCCCCCCCCCATTCTCACCCCACAATTACAGGAATCACTTTTGGGGCTTGGTATAATGCAGAACTCACCCATTCGGGTATACTGGCATCTGAGGTAAAAGTTTTAGGATAGGTAGCAGTTTAGGCACAATGACCCACCTCCCATTTCATCATAAGGTGGCCAGTTAAATTTCCCACCTTCCATTTTCCTATTGTGGCACAGAAGCAGCCCCCCTCAAAGCTCCCGTCCAACTAATTTCTGCCTTTTTATCTCAGGGAGTGGGGCAGGAAGCAAGCAAAGAGATAACCTCCTTTTAAAGAAACACTTCCTTTTTTAAATGGAGGGGAGCTGTTTAGGGGGAACCAGCAATGTAAACACCAGAAAATGCAGATAAAACACTTCCCCCCTTGATGTTTTTTGCTGGCAGAGGAGTCAGAGCCTCAGAGGGAAGAAGCAGCAGCGCATTAGGAAGTGGAGGATTGGGGGAACAAATGTGTGAGAAATAAAGGAGTGAGGGGAGAATTGGGGAGAGGTCGGGGGTAAGGAGGAGAGAATGGGGAACATAATGAGGGGAAAGCAGAAGGTGCATGGAAGAGGCCAGCCATGGAGCCCCCTGGCCTAGTGATTCCTGCCTAGGAATGGGGGAAGAATTCAATTCAATTTGTATTTAAAGGCGAACCTACCAAATTCATGCTTTCTGAAACAATATGAGAACCACAGCACGGGCATCCTTTGAAATTCACACTGCTCCAAATTTTTCCATGCAGTTCTCAAGACAAATAATGTGTACAAAAACGTTAACACTGAGGTAAAGTGTGAATAAAAATACATATATATTAGTGAAGATAACATTAGAATCTTGTTTGATGCTGTCCTGGCTTCTACTTCATGGGTTTCCTTGTCCTGGGCTGGTTGGCTGCATCTGCCCAAGCCAGGCAGTCTCTGAGGGCACAAGAAAGCATTCATACCTCAGGCATGGTCAGTCAGGGACAGTGTTTTCCTGGCAGGTGAGGAAGTTTGAAGAGAGCCTTGGAGTAACAGTGCCTTCTACATTTGTAGTGTTGCAGTGAGAAAATGGCAAGTTAAATTTCTTTTTCCAGCTCTCCATATGATATTACTCCTAATCAATTAAAAAAACAAGTTATCAAAAATGTCCCAATGCACTTGATAAACTACTGAGTACAATTTGACATGAGGACAACATATCTCGAGAGCTGGGGGTCAGATCCAATCCTTAGAAAAAAGGACCCCTTAGGTAAACTAACTTAGGTTCTTCTAACTGTTCCTGAACAAATCTTGTCATCCTCATCCATACTGGCCGGATCTGATGAAAGTTGTACTGCTGCAACATGTGGAGCCACAGCACAGTGTCTGCAATTTGCAAATGTGCACACAGGCCCAGAAAGCTCTCTGTTCAAACACAAGCTACCCATCATAATGACAGGTGGTTTCTGCTAGCATATTTTCTCAGTTACAAACCAGTTTCATGTGTGTCAAGAGGGTGTTCTTGCAAACAAAGGTATTTGTACAATAAGTGGATGATTAATAGGTAACTAATCCTTAAGTTTTCCTGGTCAATGTTCACATCATGTTGTGCTTTATGATTTATCTACTCTCATTTTCAGTTGTGCCACAACAACATGCATGTCAAATGCAATTCTCATTTCATTAGTTGGGGACTGAACTTTGGGATTACGTCTAATGCTCAGGAAAAGGTACATTTTCCTTGTTGTTTCTCTCTCTCCAAATAACATGAAAATGGCTGATATATGGTTTAAAAGGGAAGTGGGCGGTGAGCAGTTCATGAAATATTTTTGGATTATGACCTGTTTCTTTGTCTCCCTCTCATTATATGCAAGTTAGTTCACACACCCTTGGATATTAAATTGTGTCACCAATTGAACTTTCGCTTTCCTGGTAGTTTCTGGGACTCAAAAAAACTATAGTTTCAATAAGAACACCCTGCATAAAAAATGCAAGGTACATTTTTAGCACTTGACAAGGTAATAGATTGTATTATAATTCTACTGGGAAAATTGTTAAATGGTGGTTATGGTCACATACTCTGGTTGTATACTCATCACTGCCTTAAAATGCAGATCTGTCATTCTTTTTCTCATTTCAGTTTGAAGCTGGTCTGAGGGAAAAAACCATCAAAATGCAGCTTTTCATAAGGAAGTTCAGGGTAGATCTATAATGTGGTTAATGTTTCATGTACACGGCTTTTCACACCATCTGTGGGAATGCACTGGGTGCAGAGTAATCAGAAGTGTGCACCAGCCTTGTTGCACTAGTTGTGTCAGTGACCTCTTGTTTGTAAAATGGGTTGTGTTTGTCTTATTTTTGCTTATACAGTTGGAGCTCGGGTTACAGACGCTTCAGGTTACAGATTCCGCTAACCCAGAAATAGTACCTTGGGTTAAGAACTTTGCTTCAGGATGAGAACAGAAATCGCACGGCGGCAGCAAGAGGTCCCATTAGCTAAAGTGGTACCTCAGGTTAAGAACAGTCTCAGGTTAAGAACGGACCTCCAGAACAAATTAAATTCTTAACCCGAGGTACCACTGTACTATTTTCTTAAAAGATGGAGATGATTGAGATGATGGTGATGATTTTATATAAAGAAAGCTTTCCCCACCTTTCTTATAACAGTTCATCCTCAGTGAAAGGTCAGTCCCAGAAAATTTTGATCCCTTTGAAACAGCCCGGTAGAAAGGCAGATAGCCGTGGTAGTTACAGTTATACAAAACAGGTTAAATGTGCTCTTCCTTAATTTTGAATCAGGTGGGCTGTTTTTGCATTTGCATGAATGTTACAGAAAGCCATTTCATGTTATTGGCACATATTTATTTTTGCTGGCATTGTTGCTGTTATTTCAGATCAGAACAGCCTGAAGAGGAACAAGAGACTTGGCTCTCACGGAATGTAAAATTTTTGCTTCCTTCTGTGCTGTAATCCTGGGAACACCAATGTCTTTATTAGGTAAAAGGTTCAGAGAAACACCAGAAATGTGCTGTGTTGTCATAGACTTGGTAAAGTACTTAAATGCAGGCTATGAACCAGAACTTCATATGTGCTTGAGGCTCCTCTTGCTTCATAGCTGATCGACTCCTACAAATTAATGGGCCTTTCCCACCTCCCATAATTCTCATCAAGGAACCCTTAATTGTATACATTAGGTTACCAGAATCAGGAAACGTGTGCCTGCTTTCGGGGCTATGCTCCTATTACAGATGCTGAGGGAATCCAAGCAACTAAATCTATACCTTTTTGTAGTTCAGGATCAACTTTAAATCTCATTAAAACACATCAGGAACTTTAAACTTTTTTAAAAAGTGTTTATTTGTGACTTCCTGTTGAAGTCATTAAGAGACAAAATACAAACTACATTATTCACATAAACATATACAAAACTTGTGCTTATACAGGCCTCATTTCATCTGAAGAAAAAGCAGCGGCAGTGTTTCACATCACAATCTAGATTATGAGGGGAGGGAACAGGACTTGCCAACTCCTTCTCAAACAGACCTGAAGATGTTTTTTGCAGCATCTTCAGGAACAAACAGCACCAATGGGAGGGGTGGGGACACAAAGTTAAACTGTTTTGAAGTCCTTGATCTAGAGCACATTCTGGATTATTTACATGGCTGCATTATTTACAGAATTAAAAAAAACCTCATTTTAAACTTTTTTGGGGGGTAAAAAAATATGAAGAACACAACCTGAAACGAAATATCTAAGGCAAGACTTTTCCTACAGCCAACCATCAGCAAGTTAGAATTAGTGAAGAGGCAAGGATCTGGAGCTCAGCTCAACAGACCGGTAAAACAAAACTGTCTACAACTGCTGGCCACAGCAACTGAAGCCAATTGCAGCAACTGCAATAAGATAGGCCCACAATACCTCACAAAACTGTTCTGCAACTCAGATGGAGTCCACATATCACAAGGGGCCATAAGACACCCATTCTGATAGGGCCTTCCCATACTTTGAAAAGGAATTGGACCTGGAGCTGACTGCATGAAAACCCATTTTCTACCACAGGGTGTTGTAGCAGGATTTTAAAGGTTTCTATTGGTTATGAATAATTCACTCACTATCCCCCCCCATTTAAGAGCATCACATAATGAAGGAGCACAATTTCTAAATACCTTAAGTCTCTCTGCTTCAGGTAATGATGACTACTCTGTCCTGTGTGGGAGGGGGGGCAAAGCTTATGGTATGTGTAAAATTATATTAAATATTATTTGAAGTGATTAAATAAATAATGTAAGTTACAAATTGCATATTAAAACATATATTAGGGAAAGTAAATACAAAAATATTTATATTAGGGAGATTAATGAACAAAAATAGATTTATACTAGGCCAGCTTTTGGAAGGAAAAATATGTGTATTAGGAAAAATCCACAAGAATCTGCACAAATTTGTGTGCTGATTATCTATCTATATATCTCCAGCTGTCCAAAACAAACTGATGAGAAAATGGGCCAAAGGGAAGATTAGAGAAATGAGAAACTAAGAGAAAGTGAGTCTGTCCTTAGCCACGGTCCACATATTTAAACATGCAATGTCCCAAAATGTGAGACATGGTAAAATCTATTGGGATGAGCATGCTAAGTCCTCAGCAAAGACATTTGCTTCTGCTTGGGCCGAGCTGTTATACTGTGTTAACTGTCCCATATAACTGATACACTGAAAATGAAAATATGGGGCAATGCAGCCTAGAAAGATGTGATTCATTTACTACCTTCTTTGTTGTGTTTTTAATATTCTGTTAGGAGCTGCACAGAGTGGCTGGGGAAACCCAGCCAGATGGGTGGGGAATGAATAAATAAATAAATAAATAAATAAATAAATAAATAATAGTTATATTAACTTCTATGACATTTCTGTTTTGTAGGAAACTCTACCTCAGATTGCTATGCTTGGAACTCTGTTTCCTGGGCATTGCTTGCAGTAGCCTTCATAGCTATTCTTGCTTTCATTGCCATCTCGATTTGTTACATTAAAGGTAAATATATGTTTGATAAAAGGAGTGGGATTTCTTCAATTTCCCCTTTGTTTACAGGTGGGAAATCATGGTTAGGTCTTTAAGTTTAGTTTCAGAAGTTGTTAATGAACCCTCAAAATGACGCCATAAATGTTTCAGAGGGAGAATGCAGAAGTATTCACCATGAGGAAATTGCATCTTCTTTTAAAACTTGCCTCTCTTTTTTAAAAAGATGTTCTGATGCTGGAGGCTGGGATAGGAATTCCTATTCTAGTTCACTTGTTGGTTTGCCAAATGACTCCCCTCACAAATATCTTGTCCCTTTCATTCATGTTGTATTGTGAGCTTGGCCAAAATGCTTCTCAAATTTGGCTGAACCTGTGCAGCAAAATGAATGAATATGAAATATTTCATGAAAATAAGGAAACACTTTTGTTTTAGGTGTATTTGTGTCATCCATTGTTTCTATGATTTTTAAAATTTATCAATGACTCATACTTCAAAGGACCCGGTTTTGCAAAATATTGTAAGCTCCCACTCAGTTTCAATTACAAATAAGTACCGTATTTTTCGCTCTATAGGATGCATTTCCCCCCCTCCAAAAATTAAGGGGAAATGTTTGTGCATCCTATGGAGCGAATGCAGTCTCCTTGGCTTCAGCGAAAGCAACGTGAAGCCTCCAAAGCGCAGAGGGAGCACTCCCTCCGCACTCCGGAGTCTATGCGTTGCTTTTGCTGAAGCCTGGAGAGCGAGAGGGGTCAGTGCACACCGACCCCTCTCACTCTCCAGGCTTCAGGGATAGCCGCCTGAAGCCTTTGGAGCGCAGCACGAGGTCCCGCTGCGCTCCAAAGGCTTCGGGTGGCTATCCCTGAAGTCTTTGGAGCGCAGCGAAACCTCGCGCTGTGCTCCAAAGGCTTCGGGGTTAGCTGCGCAAAGCCTCCACAGGGCAGTGGGGTGCCTTCACCCCACTGCTCTGCGAAGGCTTCAAAGGCTGTCCCCGAAGCCAGAACAGCTGTTCTAGCTTTGTGCAAAGCCTCCGTAGGGCACGGGGAGCCTTCATCCTCGTGCCCTGCAGAGGCTTCGCACGAAGCTAGAACAGCTAGAGGGAGCGCTTCACAGCGGTCCCTCTAGCTATTCTGGCTTTTGGATAGCCCCACAAAGCCTCTGCAGGGCATGGGGATGAAGGCTCCCTGTGCCCTGCGGAGGCTTCGGGCAAAGCTAGACCAGCTAGAGGGAGCGCTGTGCAGTGCTCCCTCTACCTATTCTAGCTTTTGGATGGCCCTGCGAAGCCTCCGCCGGGCACGGGGATGAAGGCTTCCCTTGCCCTGCGGAGGCTTTGCGCAAAGCTAGACCAGCTATCCCGCACATATCCCAGAAGCCAGAACAGCAAGAGGCTATCCAAGAAGCCAGATCCCTCTTGCTGTTCTGGCTTCTGGGATTCAGAATTTTTTTCCCTTGTTTCCTCCCCACCCAAACTAGGTGCGTCCTATCGTCTGGTGCATCCTAGAGAGCGAAAAATATGGTATCTGATCTCCCTGTTTGTTATTTCTTTCTGATTCTCCCTCAAGGAGCTTTGTGGCTCAGTCCCACTTCACCTTGTTGCCCCTCCCTTACACCTACAGTCCACATATTCCCCAGGCTGAATTGCCTCTCCCAGTTCAGCTCCATGCTGAAGACAACCAAACTACAGGCCTGTTTGTTCCCTTCAGCTTTGCAAACTCTAAGGCTTGTCCCTGTGCATCTGCACAGCCCTCATCCTTGGCTATTTTGAGGCAGGTTGGGCGAAAGCTGAGAGGAGGAATAGGATGGCCAACCTGTCTTTTCTCTACCACTTTGGGAGGAATGTGCCTCCCTTTGCTCTTCTGCATTTAGACTACCAGGATTCTCAGATGTGGCACACACTCTTAAAAATATAGCATAATAATAGCTACTTTCTCATCCTGTATTAGTAATGGAAAACATAGAGCCCATTTCACCCATAAACATGCATTGCCTTTCTGTGTTCCTTTTCCAGAGAAACGTAAGAATTCACAAATTAGATATGGTGAAGAAAGCAGAAGAAGAACATCAGGTGAGGTTCCTGCTTGAGTTAATCAAATGATGTGCTTCTGGATATTTATGTATGTACATTTATGCTTTAAAGCACTGAAAACCAGCACTTCTGTACAGTGATTAAAGCTAAAGCAAAGCTGTGCATGCAAACTTCCATTCAGATTTGAAAAGAAAGTACCATTAGAAGGAAGTGTATAGGGAAAGGAGGATTAGTCCTGAAAAAAAGGCAGAGGAATTGTTGTGGTTAGGAAGGGGGCTGGGGCGAGCAGGCAATGATTCAGATGCACCTGATCCAATCTCCCCAGACCAACATTGTGTGTCACAGTACACCTTCTGAACCCAAGTCCTCTCAGGCATTTTAGTGGTGATGAGGGAATTTCCCCTTGCCAATGAAAGGAACTTTTGTGAAGGGAATCGCATGGTGTACAGCACAGGACATATTATCCTCCCGGCTGAACTGCCTCTCTTGCTTCTGCTCCATACTGAAGACAAGCAAACCACAGGCCGGCTTGTTATCTTCAGCTTTATGAATTCCCAAGTCCAGGCTGACTGAGGGCTTGTACCTGTGCAGCTGCACACTCCTCATTTTGAGCCAGGCTGGGGCAAGGCTGAAGGAAGGAATAGGAGGTCTACCTGTCCTTTGGGAGGACAAAAAGCAAAACTGATAGTAAACAATATAATAACAGAAAATATTGAAATTACAAAAGGTACAAGACAACCACCATTATTATTCATATTTGTACTGGAAGTCTTCCTAAGGACAATAAGGAGAAATGAAAAATAAAAGGAATTTCAGTCGGTCGAAAGGAACTAAAGTGAAAGCAGATGAATTGGTATTAACAATTGCAAATGACTTGGTATTAACAATAGAAGAAACGTTAACCAGTGCTAAGGAAGTATTAGAAGAGATAGAACAATTTGGGCATGTAGCAGGTTTTAAACTGAACAAAAAGAAAACTAAAATGGTAGTTAAAAATATGAAACAAGACTTGGTGGATATGTTGCAGCAATAGATCTGTATAGAAGTTGTCAAAAAAGTTAAATATTTAGGAATATGGTTAAGATAAAAGAATATAGACCTTTTTCAGAATAATTATACACTGGTGTGGAATGGAATTAAAAGAGACCTGGAAGTATGGGGAAGGATTTCTGTCATTAAAATGAATGTGCTACCAAAGATGTTATTTTTATATCAAGCAATTCCAAAAATCAAGGGGGCAGCAATTTTTAAGGAATGGCAGAAGATGGTTTCAAGTTATATCTGGCAGGGGAAGAAACCAAGAATTCAATATAAGTTGTTAACAAATGCTAAAGAAAGAGGGGGCTTCACCCTGCTAGACTTGAAATTGTATTATGAAGCATCTTGCCTCTGTTGGTTAAAGGAATGGATGTTGTTAGAAAATTCAGATTTGTTGGATTTGGAGGGTTATGATAATAGATTTGGTTGGCACGTATATTTATGGTATAACAAGACAAAAGTCCATAAAGGATTTGGTAACCATATATTCCGAAGATCTCTATTTGAAATATGGAATAGGTATAAACACCTAGTAGAACAGACAAATATGAGTAAAAATTGGGTCACGTATGAAAAATTAATACAAAAGGAAGGAAGTAAATGGAAACTGAAACCCTATGAAGAGGTTAAAGGATATGATTGGTTGCACTATTGCCAAGTCGATGAAATGTTTAAACAGGATTTGAAGGAAAAAGGATTTGATTATAATAAATCAAAATTTGAAATAGAAATATTGAATAATGATTATAAAATTTTGTCTAAAATGTATAAATTGTTGCTCAAATGGCATTTGAAAGATAAAGAGGTAAAGTCAGTTATGATACATTGGGCCAAAGATTTTGGGTATAATATACAGTTAAAAGATTGGGAAAAACTGTAGAAAGAAAGATTAAAATTTACTGCTCGCAATGCAAAGAAATGTAATGAAAATTATGTATAGGTGGTCTATCACCCCTGTGAAATTAGCTAAAATGTATAAAATAAGTAATAAATGTTGGGAATGTAAAGAAAAAGAAGGAACTTTTAACCACATGTGGTGGGAATGTAAGAAAGTGAAAAAGTTCTGGGAGATGATATACAATGAGATGAAAAAGATCTTAAAATATACATTTACTAAAAAACCAGAAGCATTTTTACTTGGCATTGTAGGGGAGGATACTAACAGACAGAATTGTAAGTTGTTTTTATATGCAACAACAGCAGCAAGAATGTTATTGGCACAAAAATGGAAGCAAGAAGAATTACCGACGAAAGAAGAATGGCAAATGAAATTAATGGACTATGCAGAATTAGATAAATTAACAGGAAGGATTTGAAACCTGCGGGACCAGAGATTCTTAGAAGACTGGAGTAAATATTTGAACTATTTGAAAGGAATTGTAATAAACAGATTACGCTAGTAGGACTGCAAGAAGTTCTGTAAGGAGGATTATGTGAAATATTGCAAGGAAGACTATGAGGAGAATTATTAGTTAATGATAATTAAAGTAATAGAGAAACTAAGAAATGCAGAACAAGTGATAAAGAATGGAAAATCTTCAGAGGTTGTTTACAGAAGTCTAAAATATTGTATAAGATAAGAAGTTATGTTAAATGACTGTTGGAAATGATATGTTTAAAAATTAATAAAAATGTGTGTGTGTGTGTGTGTGTGTGTGTATGGAAATGTAATTCATTCTTTTTTTTCTCCCCTGCCCTCTTTTGCAGATAAACTAATAGCAGAGAATGGTAAGTCTTGCAAAATCTTTCACTTTTTGAACATGCAGAATCCAAGTGACTTCTTCCATTTTGCCATCCCATATATGTTTACCGAGCAGCTTGGAGCAGTTTAGAACTTTGAACATGCCCCAGAACTATATAACACCCTCCAACATTTCTGTGATGAAAACAGGGGCATCAGGTGTTTAGTTTGGTTTTGATCTGTGCAACGAATGTTGTGTCATTGCCAAACAGCCATACTTGGTCTTGACATGGCAGCTAGGAGTGTTTTGTATCTCTATAAATCGGAAAAGAAATGTAATTCTTTCTTTTTTCCTCCCCCTGCCCTCTTTTGCAGATAAATTAATAATAGAGAATGGTAAGTCTTGCCAAAATTTTCAGTTTTTGAACATGCAGAATCCAAGTGACTTCCTCCATTTTGCCATTCTATGTATGTGGGTGGGGTGGGAGGGTTACTGAGCAGCTTGGGTCTGCTAGAACTGTGAACTTGCCCCAGAACTAGTTTGGATTTGATTGGTGTGGCGGCATTGTGGGATGTCAGAGGCTTCTCTGGGACCCCAAAGGGGGAGTAGGAACAGTGGTGCCCTTCCTGACAAGTGGGGGGGCATACTCCCCCCTGGATCCTAGCCTGACCCTGCTTCAGCGAATGGGGAGGAAGGCTGAGACTCAGGCTGTGCCAGAGGGTGGAGCTGTCGGAGTGGGTGACTTTCCTTAGATCCGCCCCTTGCCCATTTAAGCAGCCCGTCCCTGGGGCACCACCTATTTGAATGTTGTGTCATTGCCAAACAGCCATACTTGATCTTGACATGGCAGCTGGTAGTGCTCTCCATCTCTATAAATCAGAAAAGAGATGCTTTTGACACCCAAGCCTCAAGAAAAAAGCACCAATGCAAGCAATGTACCCACCTAAAATATTTCTCCTTTCACCTTCCTCCCTGCAATCCCTTTCATTTTGACTTAACCAGAACCAAAGGTTCCCTTCCTCTGATGGAAGGAGTATCCTATTTATTATAAAATGCATATCCCATAGAAGTATCAAAGCATCTTACAAGAATAAAATATACAATATGCAAAGTTAAGTTTAAAACTTAAATTAAACATTTGACAAAAGAAGACTTCCATCTGTGGAAAGGGTCCTTTGGCTACAAGTATTTGTTACTAATTCTAGATTACAAACAGATTTTCTTGGAATTTGTTTTTCTTTTTTAATTTGAATGTGGCTCTTCATTTCTAAGCCATGCAAATGTTCTTTTGCAGAAACCTTGAAGATCGAAAAAGGCAAGTAGTCTAACATTTTGTATATGTGTTGCAAATATATATATATATTCCTGAATCATAAAAATACCACATGTGCCACAACCACTTCATTTCCCCGTTTCTTTGCACTTAGTCCAGGAATTAACCAGAAAGGGTGTGTTCCAAAGAGGAGACACACTTCAAGCTTTTGTATTATCAAATTTTCATCAGTTTTGGACATAAGGAGATTTGAGCAGCTGCTAAATTTCATTTCATATCATATCTGTGCAGAGTTTTGAAAAACTGTCAGTGCTGCATTTTCCTCATCTTAGAAATATATTATATTATGCTTTATAGTTGTGCCTGAGATGAGTAGATACTAACTTACACTTTTAGAATATATATTTTTAATGAAATACTTATTATAATAGTTGTTTTGATTGTGGTCTTTTGACAAAGGGTGGTTTTTTAAATCCACCCTCCCATCCACCCACTCACCCACAATATCCATCTACATACAGGATATTCCAGACCTTTGTTCATGGGGTGAAAAGGGTATGAAAAGAGCTTCTTTGAGCATTTAATTAAACACGAACCGTATCTGCCAGGGTTCTCACACTAAAGCTTCCATGTATGTTCAGCTGAAAGCAAGTTAAAGCCCCCTTTAGACATTCATGCTCATTGCATCAAGATCAGAATGGAGCTCATGAACATAAGGATGTGGGGGTGTGGGGCTTACACATGCACCTCCTGACCCACCACACACTTTTACCACAGTGGAAGAAGGCTTGGGTCATACATAGCAAAGACCTATTGAAATGAAAAAGATGTAATTTAGTTGAAACTAAGTTAAACCCAACTGATTTCAAACAGTATGTTCTAAGCATGGTTAAATCTGGATCCAACCCATGGCATTGATTGATTAGGTTGTAGAATGAGTAGAAGTATCCATCACGTTCTTGCCAATGAAACCTTTATATTCTTTCCTTTATTCACAGAATTCTTAGATGCCCGCTTCTACAGAGGTGAGGAGGATGCAAAATCATGTGCAAACAGAATGGATATTGGAGAGAAACTAGCAAATTCTGTAAACTGCTGTTTGTTGACTAGGGCTTCTTCCAGTCATCCTGTAATGGGTAGCTCAACCTGTGTGCTGCCAGATGGTGCTTGACTGCAAATCCCATCATCCCTTGCTTTGGTCATACTGTTTGGGGCTGATGGGAACTGTAATCCAGATCCATACCTACTGGACTAATTTACTTATCCAATACTGTTTGGCTCAAGAAAAGCACAAAGATTTTTAAACGGACATTTTGAGGGGAAATACTTTAGACAATGTGTTTATACAATAGGTATACAGGAAGGGTAGATTAATGTGGAAATGGACTGACAGGTGAGCACATGCAAAAGTGATGATGACCATCATTAATGTGACAAGAATGTGCTTAGCACATTAAACATGTTGCAGATGGCTAAAACATAAGGAGATATGTTGAGGAATATAGAAGAATTGTTGTAGAGAGAGGGTGAATCATGCAATGCAGAAAGCTTGGATAGAAATTGGTATTAGTCATCATATCATAGATTCATAGAATTGTAGAGTTGCAAGGGACCCTGAGGATCAGCTGGTCCAACTCTCTGCAAGGCAGGAATATGCAGCTGTCCAGCAGACAGATGAGAGTGTGGTCCACAGATGGGTGACTTAAAAGAGAGATGCCCACAGACAGCCTTACTTAATTTATACATTAATTTATACGCTTCATTTAAGTCTGTGCCTTTGAATCAAGGCCTTTCTTTTTGTTGCAGCTGATGTGATCTTGGACCCCAGGACAGCTCACCCAAAGCTAAAAGTGTCTGAAGATGGCAAAAGTGTTTGGAACACAGGAAGTGTTTCTAAGGTTTCTGACTGGGAGAAGCGGTTTGACTCCCGCACATTCATTCTGGCAAAACGTGGATTTTCAGAAGGCAAACATTACTGGGAGGTGGGGATTGGTCAGAAGAAAACCTGGGACTTGGGAGTTGCCTCTGCAACTGCTTCTAGAAAGGGGGAGATCACCCTGTCTCCTGAGAATGGCTACTGGGTCATAGGATGTGATGATGGGAAAGATTACTGGGCTCGGACAGAGCAATGGCTCCGCCTGAAAGTGAATGGAAAGCTTAAAAGATTAGGAATATTCCTAGATAAATCAGCTGGAAGCTTATCTTTTTATGATGTCTGCAGTAAAAGGAAATTTTACACTTATAAAACACTTGGTGTTGGGGAGCTTTATCCCTTCTTCTCCACAGGATCTGTGACTGCAGAGCTAGATAGTTCTCCACTAAGGATTCCTCCATGGAATTTGGAAGACTGATTGTGGGTACAGAATGGGAAAACATACCAGCTAGCCCTGGAATAGCTCAGAATTAGTGAAGCCCTTTCATTTAGCCAGGTTAGTGGCATAAATCCAGGTGCCAAAAAATGAGAGAAACAGAGTAGACACAATGACGTCAATGAATTCCATCATGTTCCCGCATCTAAGAAGTAGAAATGATTCAACGCATATGGAATGTGGACAAGATACCAAGATCTACTTGAAAGGGAAACACCTTTATTGCTATCCGCTGTAGAAACCAGTACACAAAAGAAACTTAATATGATGGAGAATTGGGGCAGATATAGAGACATATTTTTCTGGAAATGTATGCAAATTGAAAAAGTTTGAAGAAATCTGAGAATGGGTAATGGATTGGTATCAATATTATGAAATTAATGAGTTATTTAAAATGTGTTTATAGAATGAAGTTCTGATTTTGAAAATATTTTTTTGAAGGAAAAGAAAAACAAATTTCAAAAATGTATAAACTGATATTAGAATGGGAGACAAAAGATGAAATGGTTAGATTAGATTAGAAATATAATAGATTATATTGTGGTTATGATTTGGTAGGTAGAAGATAGGGTGTATCAGAAGGAGAGAAACAACAATTTCATGGAAAATGGGGGGCATGGAACAAAAATAAAATATGAAACTGTGTTTTGACTGTATATGTTAAAAATGTTGAAACTTAATAAAATATAATTTAAAAAATATAAATGATTCAAAGCCTAGTTGTTCCTTGTAAACATGTATAAATAGGGAAAGTAAATTTCAGTGACTGCATAAATGTTGTAGATTCACTGGTCAACAACAAATTTGTTGTCTGCGTTTTTTCAGTTGATTTAGAACGAATCTGATGCGCTGAATCCAAAAATCACATTGGTTTTGCTCAATCAGGTCAAGTTTTTGAGCTATGGCTACATGTCTTTTTTTTAACGTTTTTGTTCACATATATGCTTGTGTGGAGTATTGAAGTTGGTGGGGGTAAAATGCCATGTCGAATAATTGTTTTGATTGGAAATGATTATTTTAATGACAAGAAGTATTCAGGTCCGATAGTTCTGGGTGATTATGTCGAAAAGGGATCAGTTTGAAGTCATAAAACCTCGAAATCTTCCATAAATTGGTCCAGCAAAGCATAAAGTTGGGGGATCAAAACTAAGTTAATGGGGCGGCCGCCCCACAAAGTATCCTGATCTTCAATCAGCACGTCGTCCTGTAGCTCATTGTGATGAAATTCCAGTGCCTATCTTCAGAGAACTTCCTGACATTAGTGACGAAGATGCCTCCAGTGTTGAAGGACATGAAGAAGAAGTGGTTCTTGAAGATGATGCTCCACATCCATTTTCCCAAAAGGAGTTGAATGATCTAGTTCACGACCTCAGCTTGTCAAAGGACTCTGCCGAACTGTTGGCATCCAGATTGAAGGAAAAAAACCTCCTCTCTGACAGTGCTCGCATCAGCTTCTTGCGCAACAGGCATCAAGAGTACCTCCCGTTTTTTCTCGGAAGAGAAGGACTTGGTGTACTGTGCAGATATTGCACAGCTTCTGCTCAAGCTTGGAGTGCCACAGTACGAACCCAAAGATTGGAGACTGTTCATTGACAGCAGCAAGCGATCACTGAAATGTGTTCTGCTACACAACCGCAACCAGTTTGCCTCTATACCCCTGGCTCACTCGAGTACACTGAAGGAGAACTATGAAGCGGTGAAGTATGTGCTGGAGAAAATTGGTTATGATCAGCATAAGTGGTTTATTTATGTTGACCTGAAGATGGTGAACTTTTTTTGGGACAACAGTCTGGCTTCACCAAGTACCCATGTTTTCTGTGAATGTGGGATAGTAGGGACCGTGCTCAGCATTACACGAAGAAGGACTGGCCTGTGCGGGAGGAATTGGTGCCTTGCAAAGAAAGGAACGTCATCAACGACCCTCTGGTGGACAGAGACAGAATACTCTTCCCACCGCTGCACATCAAGCTCGGCTTAATCAAGCACTTCACCAAGGCTCTGGACAAGGATGGTGACTGCTTCATTTACTTGTGCCAGGCTTTTCCAGGATTGACCATGGAGAAGTTGAAAGCTGGCATCTTTGATTGTCCTCAGATCCGTCAGCTCATCAGAGATCCAGAGTTCGGAAACTCAATGAACGAAGTGGAACTGGAAGCGTGGAAGGCATTTGTTCTGGTAGTGAAGAACTTTCTTGGCAACAATAAGGCCAGAAACTACGCAGAACTTGTCAACAACATGCTGACTGCTTTCAGAAACCTGGGCTGCAACATGAGCGTCAAGATGCACTACCTATTTTCACATATGGACCGGTTTCCTGAGATCCTGGGTTCAATGAGTGACGAGCAGGGGGAGAGATTCCATCAGGACATGAAAGAGATGGAGACCAGGTATCAGGGTCGCTGGGACGCAGTCATGATGGCTGACTACTGTTGGACTCTGAAGAGAGACCTCCCTGCCACTGAGCATTCCAGGAGTTCCAAGAAACGGAAGTTCAAGCCCTGAAGTTTGAAAAATGGTGAAGCAACATGCAATTTACGTGTACTTACTTTATCAACGCCCACCATTCAGTTTACAGTAATCAATGTTTCTATCAGGTAATCAATATATGTTGTTGGAAAAAACATTTTTTCTCTCTTAAAAACATATTTAGGATATGTGTTGACAAAAATCAGCTGATAATACCACAAAAATGTAATCGATTTTGTCACAAGATCTGATTTTTTTCCAAATCAACATAGCACAAAAACCTGACCTGATGGAGAGAAACGGATGCCATTTCCTGATTCAGCAGTACAAAAATACCCTAAATCAGTTGTAGAAATCTAGACAACATTCAAAAAGTAAAAAATTGTTGCCCAGTGAATTATTCAACAAGGAAACTCATAGTAAATTGTGTTGATTTGATTACTGTATTTTGAATAATAATAATAATTTTAGAATTGTTAAATTTAAAATGCTAAGTTTTGGGAAGCACAGTCCCACCAGCTGTAAAGGAGGCAGGCAATCACAGGCTGCTCCGGAAGAAGCCCTGCCTTGGACCCATGGGCAGACTTTTTTCTTTCAAATTTTGGCAGCATCCCGTGTGAACCCAGAATTTGGCACCCTGCTGCCTCTCACCTTCTGTTCTGCTCAATTCATTGCAGGTAAAACACATACTCATAGAGAAGCACAGACTGGTATTCTGAAGGGCCCCCCTTTCTTCTTATGTATGGAAAAGAATCAGGAAGCGGCTTCTTGGTTCAGATGCAATAATCCTTTGCAAGAATAACAAGTGATATCCACTGATAACCCCTACCCACCCCCAAGAAACTCATTGAGTTCCGTTATTCACTGCACTTTGTTTCAGAGAGTTATTGGAAGGTATCTCAATGTAGTGATAATTGGTAGTTACAATACAGGCCTCCAGTACAGATCAGAATGTGGAAGTAACATGTGGATAGAACTTCTGCTACTTTAGATGACATTGTAGTTTTGACAAGCCTTCAGAATACAGGAGTCATTACAGATAAACCATATTAGATTCCCAAGCCCTTTGGAAGAATCTCTGATACAGTCTTCTGAGGGAATAATACTTGGCATGACAAGCCAATACAATTCTCATGGGAGTGTGGGAATAGTGCTGGGCATTCTAGAAAGAAAAATTGTTTAGGGATTTTTAAAATCCATTTTGACATTAAAAAAAAAAGTTTGCCACTGCTAATTTGCTCATACTTTTAGCCATTACTGGTGTTTAAAAACCTCATTTGTAGAGCCATAGATAGAAATCAGTCAAATCCTGTTAACAATATGAGAACAACATCCTTCTTCTTCAACAATTTACCCCCACCTCTTTTGCCAGTCTCTTCTTCATTAAACCATATTGGAATATTAAATGAGAGATAAAACTTCAGATAACAATAATAAATGGCAATGTATTGTTTTATTATTTACTTATTTATAAAAATATTTGTATACCACTATATGACTAAATATACTAAGTAAATATACTAACTATATGACTAAATATACTATACTAAATAACAAAATATACTATACTAAATAACTAAATATATATATAACAAACATACAGCAATCAAACATAAAGCCATACAATAATACTCTAAGAAGCCATTAACAAAAAATTAACACATCTAAAGTGGCGCTGACTGATCGCAGGACACTTTGTTCTTGTTTCTTGTTTACCACCAATCACCCGCTTTGATAAGGCAAGTAGCACCACTCCTGCCAGCTGAGCCCATGGGCCGAACACTCAAAGAATGCACAATGGAGACTTCATTACCTGAGGATGATCGAGCCGCTTCTAGGCCAAAATAATTACGCCGCTGCCGCCTGCAATAATTGCTATATTTTAAATAGAAATTCAGCACAGCTCATCATAGAGCGGAAGTCTGTGACCAGGAGACTTGTGTGACTGTTGGGCTGTTGTCCTGAGGCTAATTGCTGCTGCAGTACTTCAAGGTCTCTGTTCTCCCTTCTTAAGGTTATATTTAAACCAGACTTGGGGTAGAGCAGTGTTTCCTAACCTTTTTTGGGCAAAGGCACACTTGTTTCATGAAAAAAATCTCGCGGCACACCACCATTAGAAAATGTTTAAAAAATTAACTCTGTGCCTATATTGACTATATATAAAGTAACTCTCTTTAATAGGAATCAAATAAACACAAAGAAAGTATTTTATAATTACTTTATTATGAAATAGTAAGTTGCAGAATTTATTCAGCACGCAGAAAATGGCCTTTTGGGGGGTGAATGTGGATGAAGCAGGAAGAGAACTGAAAAAAAAGGCATGCATGAAATCTAGCCCCAAACACACACACGCACACTTTCCCCAAAGTGGTTGATGACGCAGGATATTTCCACATGCTTCTAAAATGCACATTAAATAAAACGAGAGAGAGAAGTGCACGCATTCACCTGCCAGCCTCGGAGCTGTGGAATGCAGCGACATGAAGCAATCTGTGTCCTTCCAGGCGCCAGCTCAGACCTGCCGTGCTGTTTCGTTCCCCCGGCGTCGCCGCCTTCATTCAGCCGGATGCCTCTCCTGCCCAAGGGACGTGTCAGCAGCCACCCGGCATGGGGTAGAGGCAGGACAGCCCCACTTCCTGCTGCCCACAAGGCTTTGGGGTGAGAAACGCGGAGGGGCAGGAGAGTGGAGGCTGCCTTAATTGGAAAAAGCAGGGAGGTAGGCTGGTGTGCCGTGGGAGGGAGGCGGGCGAGTCGGGCGGTGAGCACACGCGGGGCGGCGAGCGAGCTCCCTCCCACATCCCATCGCCGCTCGCTTCGGCCGGCCT